GTGCTCGGAAGCGCAGCTGGTTGCAGCTTCCTCGGCTCCGGTTTGCCAAGAGGCGCCCGGGTGGCAGCCGCGTTCCGGATCTCTCCCTCCTTCCAGTTTCCTCCCACCCTCTCTCTTCACCACTGTATTTACCTTTAATTACCAGGCCCGCTCGCAGGATGCCGAGACCGTCCCGGCGGCCGCTCGCTTATTCCCCTTGGGATCGAGGAGGCCGGTTGGCATCAGGGACCCGTCATCCCATGGAAGCTCCCGCTTCCCACAGGGCGGCTTCCCTGGAGCGGAGCCACGGGCGGCTCCCAGGTCCCAGAGCCACCGTCGGGGCCCGTGCGCTTCCCGCTCGCTTCCCGCTCGCTTCCCCGGCGCTTCCCGGGGCCCGTCCGCTCCCCCCGCGATTCCCGCACAATTCCCACACGTTCCCCGCGCGATTCCCGCCCGCTGGCGAGCCGCAGCCCGCGCTGCGGGCAGATGTTTGCCGGCAGAAATTAACTCCAGCTGGGAAGGCGCCGTTGGCAGCCGAACAGACCCGGCACCGTGCCGGGAAGCGGAGCGGGGGGACCCTCCGGGGGGTCCATCCCATGGGATGCTCTGCACGGAGGGATGGAGCTCGGCTCGTTGTGACCCCCCAGCTCCCAGCGAGGGGACAGGGACGTTCGGCCGCGTCCCGAGGAGGCTCCGATCCCCGCCGGGAGCCGCGGCGAATATCCCGCTGCCCGGAGCGCGCGGAGCCCAAAGCTCTTCCAGATGTGCGCGGCTGGAGCCGGCCTCCTTCATGTGCACAGCTTGATTGCCCCGAAATCACGGATCGTCTGCAGGGAGCGGCGGCGTTTGACTTAGGAGCAACTTCCAGTCCCACTTGAACTCCCCTCCTGGTCCCTGCTCCGCCTGGGCCCTGCAGATGGTTTCGTTCTGAAACCTCTTTTTTGGGGGGCTTTTTATTTGGTTTTTATTGGGCGGGAGGCAGTTTGGGGCGCATTTGTGCCCGGAAGGGACCACGGAGCCTTTGCCGCGGATGCGGAGGACGGGGCAGGGATGCGGCGGCGCTGGGTCGGGGCCGCGGATTCGCTCGGCGTCTCCATCCGGCGCGCGGAGGAGGATCGTCCTGGCCGCGGGCCAGGGGCCGCTCCGGGGCGCGCGCCCTCTCCGCGCTCCCTCCGGCGCCTGTTCTTCCAGCGCCGGAAAAACCCCCGG